GGCAGTTGGAATGGACGTAGGAGCAGTACTACCGCTAATATAAGCGGTACTACCGCGCGCTACTGCCGTCCCTACTACCGCTCCCCTGCGTAGTCCTTTACGGAAACCCGACACGAAAAAATCGAGACCACAACAGGGGCGGTAGTACCAGCGACCCTTGATCTCAACTTTACTTTTAACTTTATACTTTACAAGTTTCATCACCGATTGGCACATAAAGCATTTTCATCACCACAACTCAATTACCCATAGAATCAGACAACTACAATATACCTCCCTGTTTTTAAACAAATTCTGTTTCTTTTGGGCCTCTCATGATTCAGGAGTCATAGGCTTTCCCTTAAACCCATGCCGCCTAAGTGTTCCTTGAACACATTGGGTGGTAAGCCTTTCGTAAGCGGACCCGCAAGCATATCCTTTGTCCTTATATGCTCGAGACTTATAGTGTGATCCTAGATTTTATCTTTCACAACATAATACTTTATCTCTATTGTTTTGGCAGCATTGCTCGACTTGTTGTTGTGAGCATAGAATACTGCGGGCTGGTTGTCATAGTACATCTTTAGTGGTTTGTCAATACAATCTACCACTTTCAAGTCGGGTATAAATTTCTTTAACCATATCGCCTGCCCCGTGGCCTCAAAACATGCTATGAATTCTGCATACATCATGCACGATGCAACTATTGACATTTTGGAGATTTTCCATGAAATAGCCCCTCCAGCGAGAGTGAACACACATCCTGACATGGATTTCCTATCATCTCTGTCTCCCACAAAATCTGCGTCTGAATACCCTCTTATCTCTAGGGAATCAGATCTCCTTAGATACCACTATCTAGAGGCTTGCCTTAATCCATAAATGGATTTATTTAGGCGGCATCCCATATATTCCTTGCCTTCCATGATAAAACCTTTGGTTGTTTCATGTAAACCTTTTCTTTTGAATCCCCGTTGAGAAATGTCGTCTTTACATCCATTTAATGTAACTCTAAATCAAAATGTGCAACTAATGCCTTATGCCATTATGATTCTGAAGGAATCCTTACATGAGACTGACGAAAATGTCTCATTATAATCTATCTCTTCTCTTTGTGTAAATCCTTTTGCCACAAGTCGTGTTTTATACTTTTCTACATTCCCTTTAGAGTCATACTTAGTTTTGTAGACCCATTTACAACCTTCTGTTTTGGCTCCTTTAGGAATATTCTCCAAGTCCCAAACATCTTTGGAACTCATCGATTTCATTTCGTCTTCCATTGCCTCCAGCCACTTTGATGAGTGATGGCTTCTCATGGCTTCTTAATATGAAGTGAGATCACCTTCCATACAATCCTTTTCTGTGTTATAAACTTTATAATCAGTAGAAATAGCTGACCTTTTGGGTCTTGCGGACCTTCTAAGGGCCTCACTCCTAGGCTCATTCTGTGCCTCACCTTCCGGCACATCTTCTAAAAGTGGCTGCTGCACCAACCCTTCATGCTCAATAACAAGTTCAGTCGTCTCCTGATAGACAGGTTTCGGATCATCTCCCATAGTTGTCATGGTTGGAGTTACAACAGGTGCTTGCATCGCAACCTCGGGGATTGTCGGTGCAGGTACAACAGATAGTGAGAAAAATGGCTCCCGAATCATTGGATTAGGTGCATGCACCCTCTTCTCCTCAAGATCAATTTTCCGAGCTACCATGCCCTCCCTCATCATTTTGTCCTCTAAGAAGACTGCATGTCTTAATTCCACAAACTTTGTGCATCTCTCTGAACAGTAGAAACGAAAACCTTTTGATCTATCAGGATAGCCAATGAAGTGGCAACTGCCTGTTTTGGGATCTAACTTTGCAATATTTGGATTAAACACTTTTGCCTCAGCCGGGCTCCCCCAGACTCTCAAGTGCTATAGAGAGGGTACTCTTCCTGTCCATAACTCATACAGTGTTTTGGGCACCGACTTGCTTGGTACTCCATTGAGAATGTGAATGACGGTTTTAAGCGCCTCCATCCATAATCCCAATGGCAAGGTGGAATAACTCATCATACTGGGCACCATATCCATAAGTGTATGATTACGCCTTTCAGCTACTCCATTTTGCTGAGGCTCTCCTGGCATTGAATACTGGGCCACTATGTTAGTCTCCTGTAGGAACTTTGCAAAAGCTCTAGGACTTGGCCATATGGAGTGTGCCAACCGTAGTACTCCCCCCGCGGTCAGATCTTACTATCTTTATTCTTTTATCATACTGATTTTCAACTACAGATTTGAATATCTTAAATTTATCCAACGCTTCAGATCTTTCTTTGATTGGATCAATATAACCATATCGGGAGTAATCATCTGTGGATGTTATGAATGAGTCATAGCCATCCACACTTTTCACAGGAAATGGTCCACAAATGTAAGTGTGAATGATTTCTAGTGTTCCTGTGCTACGGTTTGCACTCTTTTTTGATTTGTTTTACATACTTTCCTTTAATGCGATCTATGCATTGCTCTATGTCTGAGAACTCTAATGGAGGAAGAATTTCATTTTTAACTAGTATTTCTATTCTCCCCCTCGAAATATGGCCCAAGCGACAGTGCCATAATTTCGATTAGTCATGAGTTCTCTTTCTTTTCTTTTGTTCTTTACCCGACGCAGAAACATGCTCATTCACATTACACACGGAATACACTTTTTCACACAGTGATAATAAATAAAGCTCATTGTGAAGTAAAGCATCACCCACATAAGCATTATTAAACCATATGGCACACTTGCCATGTCCAAAAAAACATTCATAATGATCTTTGTCCAAACATGAAACACTAATCAAATTT